CCCCAAAACCCCAAAACCCCAAAACCCCTTGCTGCATTCATGAGATTGGAGAATATCTATAATTTAAATTTAAAATGGCTCTTTTCTCTATGGCTCCACTAATGAAGCTAAGTTGAGTTACTGTTCTGTTTCTAATCCTTGTCAGCTTAGCTAATACAGAAAACCCTCAGATGACTATTCATGGCATCGCACATTCTCACAATGATGCTGGATGGCTCATGCCTTTTGATAAGTATTATGAAAACTATACTAAGCTGATATAATTGATGGCGTCATTGCTTATCTCTCAGAGAACGAAGAAAAGGTGTTCAACTGGTCTGATATAGCTTTCTTTGAATACTGGTGGCAGAGACAAGACCAGGATACTCAGGAACAAGTCAAGAAGTTAGTTAAACAATCCAGATTTGTGTTTGTAGGAGGTGGATGGGTCATGAATGACGAAGCACTTCCCGCCTACAAAGAATCTTTATTGCAGATGAGAACTGGCCTCACGTTTTTGAGAGAGACTTTTGATGTTAGACCTACAATAGGATGGCAGATAGACCCATTTGGAAGTTCAGCATTAACTGTTGCTGTTCTAAGCAAGCTTGGATATGACTCACTTGTAGAAAACAGGATGTCTAAGAACTATAAGGATAAACTTGCGAAGGAAGATGGATTCAATTTTTATTGGCAAGGACACCAAGTCTCTGAAGATCCTGATGATAATTTGATCTTTACACATGTTCTGACAGATCACTACAATATAATCAAGGTTTGGAATGAAAATATGGTGATAGGTTCAAATATTCCTCAGATAGAGAAGAAAATTTATGAAACAGAAGTTTCACCTCCACTAACTGCTGTTCAGGTTTTGAACAATAATCATGCTAAAATAAACTCAATGGTTTGTTTGGGTGATGATTTCTTTTATGTCAATGCTCCTCAGCTCTTCAAAAAGTTTGATGAGCTTCTTGGAGGACTTGAGAAAGAAGGTAAAAATAATGGAATGGAGGTTAAAGCAAAATATAGTTCTTTATATAAATATTTTGAAGGGCTCCATGATTCAAATACTACTTATGGATTATTCAAAGGTGACTTCTTGCCATATAATGAGCCTAAAAAAGATTATGAAGACTTTTGGACAGGCTATTACTCCACCAGGCTTCATCTAAAGAGATTTATTAGATTCGCTTTCAATCAAATTCAAAGTTTCAAGACTTTGTTTGCTATCGATGCCTCGATTAATGATTTAAAAGCTAGAACTTCTACTGATGATAATAGCTTTGATAAAATATCTGAACTCATAGAAGGAGCAGAGAGGGACTGGTCAATATTAATGCATCACGATGCTATCACAGGAACACATGAATTAATTACAGAACCAAGCTATTATGCTACACTTGATAAAGCACTCAGTCAACTCGACAAAGCTCTTGAAATATTTAAAAATATTGAAAGAGCTCAGAATGAAAATCAGATATTTTTAGATAAATTAGAGCAAATCAGCAATAACAAAACTTATTCTTACATTCTAGTGAATCCTTCAGCAACAGGAAGAAATGAAATTATGAATATGACCCTTCCAGCAAGTGATGAAGGGCTAGAGTATATATTGATCCTTGAGACTACTGAAAAGACAGAACAAATCGATTCATATATCACTGAAACACAAGAAATCGATGAAGGGACTTTTGAACTTAAGCCTATCAAGAAAATATTCTTCGATCTTCACATGGAGAAGCTAACAACTGCCAGGCTGTACATTTTGACCACTGATAAAAAGGCTGATTGTGATGCTGCTTCTACAAAATGTGCCACAAGAGTAACACCTAAAACCATTGATTCTACGCATAAGATAGAAAACGATATGATCTCACTAGATTTTAATGAAAATGGAAGCTTGGCAGCAATTACAAAGAAGCTCAAAGAGGGTGCCCAGCAATCGATTCCTATTGAAGAGACTATTACTTATTACAGAACTGATCATGGAAGTAGATCTGGTCATTATATCTTCAACCCAATGACTGAGAAGGTCACTATGAATTTCAGCAGTACTGAGCTATACGAATATCAGATTGGGGATCTAACCACCCTCTATCAAGTTGTGATGAAGAATAATGTGACTATGGTTGTGAAAAGTTACTCAGTGAATCAAAAAGGATGTCCAAGGCTTAAAGATCAATATTCATTCCAGTTAGAGTTCTTTAGCAAGCTTATTATTGAAGCTAGTCTGTCTTTAAAATTATCTAGCAGTGGGAAAGATGCTAAATTTACCGCATATGTTGATGACTCCATGAAGCTTATTGAAAGACCTATTTATGATAAGAAGGTAGATATTAAAAGACATAATGATATTGAGCTTAATGGATTCTTTACTTATGCATGCGTGCACGGAGGAGCCCTGAAAAAGTCAATGAATTCAAAAGATCTCTACTTTGGGTGGCAAAATTCAAATCCAATTGGATGCACATTTTCTGAGAAAAACAGGGTGGAGATTATGATTCACAGAAAATTTGGCAATAATGGTAATGCTCTTTTGATAATTTTAGATTATAAGGGAATGGTGTCAACACAGGTACAAGATCATGTTACTTCAATTAGTTTCCAATTCTACATTCATTCCTCTCAGTAAGTTTAGCCTTAACTCCTTAGAGATATGAATGATTTCTGGGAACAGAAAATCATGGGAAATGTAAGGGTAAATGAACCAATTGGAATCTTTGAAGTTGATATGTCCAAGGCTGATCAATCTCATAAGTGGCCAAGAGCTATGCAGCTCTTTAGTAATAAGATTGATATCGAAAAACTCCATAAGCACATAGAAGTAGCCGATTTAAAATTTATGAGGCATAATTTGCTTAAAGATGTCAAGAGATTTGAACTGGTCATGATTTTAAGAAACAGGCTTGGAGAAAACATCCCATTTAAAGCGGATTTGAGTGGTTCTCTGACTGTATTTAAGAACACATATATTGATACTCTTAAAAGAGGAAGAAGCTCGAGATTCATCAACGGATGCAATAGTAATTGGGATGTTTTACCCAACGATAAATATCATTTGAAAACACTAGAATCAGAATATCAACCTTCTGGAAAAGAAAATATTGATGAATTTACTCTTAAGCCATATGAAATGTCTGAATATAGAATACTTAATACAAGAACTTATGATAGATTAAAAGCAGAAGTGAATAGACTTGAGGAAAGTGGAATCAACAAGATCAGTTGTAAACCTCTGAATCTACTGAAAAATCCTTATAAAGAGCCAACATCAATGTCAGCAGTGAAGAAACTTATCCTTGTTCTTATCATGACAACCACTATAATTGTTCTTTTTGTCTCCTGTAGGTTATACATGAAATCAAACAGAAAAGAGATTCCTTACGAGATTGAGATGGATGTCAACCCAGCAGCGAGCCAAGAAAGTTCAGAAATTAGTGACAGATCAATTTAGACAAGAGTTTCAAATTATTTTCCTCTTGTTGGGGTTTTGGGGTTTTGGGGTTTTGGGGTTTTGGGG